GAGAGAGAGAGAGAACGCGCGTACCGATCCTTCGATAGTGTGCATCGTGTATCGCGAGTACGGTTTCTCGTATAAGCCGAGATCAAGATTGATAGGCCACGAGTCGCAACACATACGGGGCATCCACTTAGCGGTGCATTATCCGAATGAGAATGTGTACAGGCTGGATCTTACCTAATGCGACGCCCGCAATCCCGGTAATGGCGACCGTTTTGGTCGTTGCGCGCGGCGATCTTCGGCAATCGATAATCCCGCGCGCGTGTGTGCCCGTATCGAGTTAAGGCGTCGCGCATTATTTCGCGCTAGTCCGACACGTGGCCGGTAGGAGTTGCTACCGTGACCTTGCAAGCGACGGCTAAATAAATGCAGACAGGCTGACAGACAATTAACCGATAAGTTGCCGTGACGTTCCTGGCGTATATCTGTCGTGCTTACGTAAACGAAAACTTTACGCCCGGTCAATTTCAGCCGCGTGACTACTTTTTACTATGTTCGACTGTAAATGAGAGGATTTGTGGTTCACAATTTTTGCTCTTTGTCCGAGTCGCGTCGCTTTTCGCCTGCGCGCCTGCGGAAGTGCATGTTTAGGTGAAACGCGCGGGGAGACATTGAGGAATGAGGGGAAGAAAACAATAAAATGGGATTCTCGAGAAAGAGCGCGTTGAATGAAATGTATACTTTGGCATGTGGTGAAACGTTTTTGCTAATGGCACCGTTTCGCAAAACTAAAAAATTATATACTTTTCCAGAAGCGTATTATTATTAAATTGCGCGCTGTAGACGCGACTTGTATGCATAAGCGCGCGCTTATGAAAAGGTTATTCTGCAAGGTTTTTGCTGCGTAAAAATATTTTCCGACGGGCCGTTGCACGCGCGCGCGCGCGCGCGCGCGATGTTAATATCTCCTCACAATATTACATTACGTTTAAAATCGATTTAGAGTTCTTGTTTTATTAAAGCCGTTCATTATTAATATTTGCATAAATACCGCAAATTGTATTGCATATTGTTCAATT